ATTGTTCTGCTCGGAAAAAGGTTGAAAAGAATTGCGATGGAGTACGATCTCATCATCATCAATGGAGTGGTCGTGTCCGAAAAGGAAGTTCAAGAGTGGGATATCGCTATCAAAGACGAGAAGATCGCAAAGGTAGTTCCAAGAGAGGGTCTGAAAGATGCACAAGCGACGAGGACGATAGACGCCGAAGGTGGCTATGTGATGCCGGGAGGCGTGGACGCTCACGTTCATCTCCAAGAACCTCCGTTGTTTGGAAACGGCTCAACGGCAGACAACTACGAGACTGGAAGTCGATCAGCCGTGTGCGGTGGTACCACTACCATGGTGACGTTTGCGCCACAGAAGAAGACCGAGGATACCCTTCTCGACACTCTGGCGGCCACTCATGAACGAGCGAAGGACAACTGCTACATCGACTACTCATTCCATATCATCGTCGGCAACCCTTCAGAAAGGGCGCTCTCAGAGTTCAAGACCCTGCGAGAGGAAGGCATATCTTCACTCAAGATCTACATGACCTACGAGGCTCTTCAACTGCACGATGGTCAGATCCTAGACATCCTTCTCGAAGCCAGGAAGCAAGGCATAACGACCATGATCCACGCCGAGAACGGACAAGTAATCGATTGGATGACCGCGCAACTCGAAAAGAAGAAGCTGTTCGCGCCGAAATACCACGGCTCATCCCATCCGCCCATGGCAGAGACCGAAGCCACCTACCGTGCAATCAGCTTATCAGAGTTCATGGATACTCCCATCCTCATCGTCCACGTATCCACACCTGCTGCAGCTGCACACATCAAAGCAGCGCAAGACCGCGGTCTACCCATCTACGCGGAAACCTGCCCGCAATACCTCTTCCTCACAAAGCTAGATCTCGACCACCCCGGTTTCGAAGGCGCGAAATGTGTGTGTTCGCCTCCACCCCGCGAAAGCGAAGCAGACTGCGACGTCATCTGGGAGGGTCTCGCCAACGGCACCTTCACAATCCTCTCTTCAGACCACTGTCCCTTCCGCTATGACGACCCTGAGATGGGTAAGAAGTCCAGTATCAGCGCAGAATACCCTCTGGGCCACTTCAAATACATCCCCAACGGCTGTCCAGGAATCGAAACACGCCTCTCCCTCACGCTCAGCGCGAACCGGCTCAAACTCACCAAATTTGTCGAAGTCACGTCTGCAAATCCTGCGAAGCTATACGGTCTCTACCCGAAGAAAGGCGCGCTGATAGAGGGCGAATCAGATGCTGATATCAATATCTGGTATCCGGATGGCAAGATGGAGGAGTTTGAGCTGACGAATAGTATGTTGCATCATGATGTTGACTACACGCCTTTTGAGGGCAGGAGGCTCAAGCAGTGGCCGAGGTGGACCTTGTTGAGGGGGAAGGTGGTTTGGGATAGGGATAATGGAGGGTTATTGGGGGAGAAGGGGTATGGCAGGTTTACGAAGAGGGATACGAGTAGTCTCGCGAAGCCGATGAGGGAGGGGGAGTGGGTGTTGCCGCTGTAGGTGTGGGTTGTGGTGGTGCGCGTGCGCGTGCGCCGTAGTATTGGGCTCGCAGATTCGTCTTCGACGCGTGCAACGCGTTTTGTTATGTCGTGACACGAGATGTCGCTTGCGACGCATGAATTCCCCTTGATATCTCCATAATGTGTTCGGTGTTGTAGCCTTGAGCGAATGGCTAGGCTTGCAGCTTGATGTTTGCCGCGGCTTGATCCTTATCTTATCAGCCCCCCTGTGCACCTCGCGTCCCACCCCATTCTTGCTTCTACCTTCCTTCGCGACAGCGCGTACATTGCGCATATCTGCATCATGTTACATCAAGCATGCATGACTAATGTCATGCTATCGTCTTATCAACGCAGCGGCTCGTACCTGCTGGTTGCGATGCAGATACCAGGCACCTGAGTCTTGCAGCTTGCCAACACTGGCACATGAGCTTGAGAGAGCTTATCATGCGCCCAAGCTGAACATTACCATTTTCTAGGGAAGATGACGACCTCAGATCTACCGGTAGAGGATGTAGATGTACTTGTCGTAGGTGGAGGACCAGTAGGTACACACCCCGTCTCCATTACACACATCACCTGGGCATGATACTGACACTCATTCCCAGGCCTGGTAACCGCCTACCAACTCGCGCGCAACCTCCCTCGCTCTACGCATCGCATCAAGATCATCGAACAACATCCCAAGTCGTCCCAAGACAACCATGGACGCGCCATCACCCTCTTTCCTCGCAGCACTGAGATGTTAGATCAGCTTTCTCTGGCTGATTCCCTCGCCCAACAATGTTTCGCATGTCGCGAGACTGTAAACTACGATAATCATGGCAACGAGGTGGAAGGAAGAGGTTGGGCGTTCATGGAGAACATGACGGATACCAAGTGGGACTTCGCGTTGGTGCTACGTCAGAAGTACCAGGAAGAGGTGTTCAGAAAGGCATTGGCCAAGGAGGGGGTACAGCTTGATGCGCCGTATACCCTGGTGGGCATCGAGATTGTAGACGGGGTTGGGATGGGTGGATATCGCATACTGGCTACAATTGAACATGGCGAGACAAAGGTGAAGAGCATAGTCAGATGTCGATATCTGGTTGGCGCAGACGGTGGGCGGTCTTTCGTACGACGAACCATGAAGATCCCCTTCGATGGCTCGTCCAGCGAAGACAAGTGGGTACGCGTCGATGGCGTTATCGAGACCGACCTCCCCAAACCGCGAACGTACTGCGCTATCGAATCGCCGACACACGGAAACGTCCTCTGGGCCGCGCTCGACAGAGGTGCAACACGTATAGGATTCGCGTTCACATCGGAGCGTCAGAAAGCATACAAGGTGTTCGACGAAGAAGCCGCTGTCAAAGAAGCCATCGCATCCGTCAAGCCGTTCAACCTCAAGTTCAAGCAGGTGGATTGGTGGACCATCTACGTTGTCGGGCAGCGCATCGCGCGCTCGTTCTTCGTGAACGACTGCATTTTCCTTGCCGGTGACGCATGCCACACACACAGTTCGGGTGCAGCACAAGGCATGAACACCGGCATGCATGATGCCGTCAACCTCGGTTGGAAGCTTTCCCTCGTGCTTCAGGGTCTCGCCAAATCAGACCTCCTACACTCATACGAAGCAGAGCGACTCCCCAATGTTCAGCGATTGATCAACTACGACAAAGACATCTCGCGCCTCATGACGATGCAGTTACCCGAGGGCTGGACAGGCGATCCCAACGCCGACCCGAACGAAGTACTAGGCGTGGTCATGGCCGAAGCAGCGACATTCAGCAGCGGATTGGGCATCTACTACGAGCCAGACTCCTATCTCAACCTCACGCAGAGCTCGGGTGTATCGTCCGTACAGCCTGGTCAGCGCGCACCTGATGTTACGCTGCAGAAGCCCGCGACTTTCGAAGCTACGCGATTACAGAGGGAGACGCCGAATACGGCGACGTTTTATATTGCGCTGTTTGCCGGGGAAGTGTCGCGCACGAAGTTGGCTTTGGCATCGTTCACGGCAGCGGTCTCTCAACTTGCTTGGCTGAACGATGAGGATGCTCAGATATCGTGTCTTTCTATCATGGCAGGACCGGGTGGACCGTCAGCGTATGAGACGTTGGGTGGTAATCCGTTTGGCCGTGTGTTCTATGATGCGGATTGCGGTGCGCATATGCGCTATGGTGTTGGGACTGAGAAGGGAGCTGTCGTGGTGTTGAGACCTGATGGCTGGGTGGGCACGGTTGTGGAGTTGAACGGGGATGCGGGGCAGAATTTGGAGAGGTACTTTGCTCGGTTTCTGACTGCTGCAGCGGGGGGTCACAAGGCTGAGGCGAAATTGTAGAGCTGCGTAGCTCCCACACATCCTTCTCAGTAGGCGATATGCCTGCTACAGCTGGTATAGTTGGTAATCAGCGCCACGGACAACTATCAGCCTATTGAAGCGGCCCTGATAGATGTGGCAACCGCCAACTGCATGGTGAGGGCTCAATGCGTACAGCCTGTACACCCCCACGAAATTCCATCACCGTGCTTGTCCAATCGCTTATCACCTGAGGCATTTTTCTATGGGCGTGTCTGTCATGTTCAGCCTCGAGGCTGCATGTGCATATTTTTGGCAGCCGAGCTGACATTAAAATACCTATAGCTGTCTCAGCCCTGTTGTCACCGTTTACCTTTTCTTTCTCTTCACCTTTCACCTTCTGCCATTAGTTGACAACTATGGCGGAACCTGAGGACCAGGCGGCTCTTGACTTCGAAGTAGCAGAGAAGGAGTTCTTCCAAAACGCCCGCGGATATTCATACGAGTCTGAACGTGATGGGTTCTTTTCAAGAGAGCGTACAGGGATTCGCTTCGAGGATTGGGGGGATGTTCGGGATTTGTTCGAACGTGGGCAGTGGCCCTCTGATAAAGGCGGCAATAACGACGGCCTGAACTTTCTCTGTGTATTAATAAAGAACGTAAACGCTGCTGGGCTAATCAAAGAAAGGATCAAGGAAAGGATCGAAAGGATAGAACGTACTTTGCGATCCCGTTCACAAGAGATTCGGATGGATGCTGCGTGTGGTCAGGATGGTTCGCCGCCTGAACATATGCTACTGGAAACGCCTGGTCACTCTAGGCCGCATTTCTTTCTCTTCTGGCCGAAAAGAGCAAAGACCTCCAATTCAGCAAGACGCATGGGGGTTCTTGTCCACGGAATGGGTGATCATCACTTTGAGTCCGTTGAATATCGCAATCGGCCCGGTCTGGTGAACATCAGACAAACGTTGGATGGAGATAATGACGCCTTCCTTGCCTGGACTTTCTTGACTTTATTCACATATATGGAAGCCATCACTGAACAAGCAAAGAAACTCGATGCCCAGGTCGACCATGTAGCGGAGATGTTAGGGTCGAGGGGCGGTCCCAACCTAAGTGATATACTCCACGAACTCAACACTATCAGCAACGAAATTAGGGCTTCAAACCACGTAGAACACCAGTTCTATTTCGTAAACAACGCCATGATGCAGGTACGAGCTGTTATGGAATGGCGAGAGGGTGAAAGGTATATGCATCGATTGCAGGTGGCAAAAGAGGATATGAAATTATGCTCACCAGAAAGACTAAAAGAACGTATCGCGGAACTACGGCTTCATGCTGCTGATTTGAAGGAAGAGATAAGACAGAAGTGGGAAGAAGAACGTCAGAGGCGGGAAGATGCTCGGCAGGAAAGGGAAGAGGCCAGAGCGACAAAAGAGGAAAAGCTTTTAGAAGAAAGCATCAGGATTGCGAAAGAAACCAAAAAGGATAGCCGTACCATGCGCGGTATTGCTTGGGTCACCATCGCATTCCTACCAGCAACGTTCGTGACCTCGTTCTTCGGCATGAATTTCTTTAATGGCATTGCAGGAAACGTTCCATTCGACGACGCAAGTCGCAATGTCTGGCTGTTCTTCGTCATCGCCGTGCCGATTAGTGGCATTGTCTTGTTCATTTTCTACTTCTGGGACGAGTATGAGAGGAAGAAAGACGAGGGCAAATTGAGGTCGATTGAGGAGGCCGCGATCACGAGTCAAGACAATGCTGGGATAGCAAAATCTACGGGAAACAATTTGGCACTGTCAGCACTACCAAGCAGAGTATCGCACGCCTAAAACCCACCACAACCCCGAACCTCCACCGAGCCACCAACCCCCTCCCTGCACCTCCCTTAGCCTCACACAGTGGGGCATGATCTACCGAGCCGGTGTGGGTCTCGCGACCCACCCCACCCTAACTTCCTACGCTGGCGCAATGTCACGATTCAAGAACCGCCGTAGCTGCCTTGTTTTCCTGGCTGCTGTTGTTGGTGCGGCAAGTGGGCGAGGCGTGCCGGCACGCGTCAGGCCGCTGCGCTGGTGCTTGAGTCGTTGGCTGTTGTTGTTGTGAGGTTGGCAGGCTTGGCTTTCCTTTTTTCGATGTATGGTATTCTTGGCTTTGCGATAGGTGGGGACTGCTGTTTGGAGGTGCGGCGGGTTTGTGGGTCGTGATTCTGTGGTGTGGTGATCGATTGAAGATGCTTCTGTGTTGGTAGAGCGCCCTTTGATGGGTACGCAAAGCGCGAGAACATCGTATGAGGGCTATAGCACATTGCAGAACGGGCTGGATTTGACGCGGTAGTAGTAGTAGCACATTGAGGGTTGTTAGTCGTACTTCAACGCATTAATATGTATTATTGGGTATCTGCCAAAGTTCATAGATCGTAGAAAGTCGCCTCACTACACCATCGCGCTTTAAAGCCACCTCCTCGCATCCAACGACTTCTCCTTTTTATGCTGAATCGGTGGTAAAGCCTGCAAACTCGGATGCGAGCTCCCCCGATCAACACTGTACTCCGACTGCACCATAATGCCTCCCATTGGAGAGCCAACAACCGGCGCCGGCGCCGCAACATCGGCCAACGGTTGCACATCCTCATTCGACTTGAACGACCGATCCAGCGACCCTTCCGACGAGTTTTCCGGCGAATTCCTATCTGTAAGGACGCCGTCTTTTCCGCCCATTCCAACGCCCATCTCGTACTCGTCTAGGCGGACAAAGTCATCTTTGTCCATCTTGCTCCGGCCCAGAGTGCTCAGTTGAGAGCGATCAGTTTTCGGTAGCCAGATGCGGGACTTGAGGTCTTTGCTGCCATTGTTCTTCTTGCTGCTGTTGCCTGAGTTCTCGGCGTAGTAGTATTGACTTGGTGTCTTCTGTTTGGGCCAGATGCGTTCGCGGATGGAACGTTGTAGTTGGCGGATAGCGGGTGCGCAGGCGACGATGGCACCGACGTGGGCTTCGATGGCGGACCAGTATCCGATGGGTAGGTAGTCCCAGGTTACGTTGGTGGTTTGCGCGAATTGGATCATGTATTTGAGGCGGAGGATGCTGACGATTGTGACACTGAGGAGGTGTTAGTTGAGGCAAGGTGAGATGTGGAAACTAGACTTACAAGCCTCCTCCGAGGAACATGCACATGATGCCAAACTTGCGCCGGCGGGTCATGGCAAGCTTGCTGAGCTCTCTCATCGGTATAACAATGACAACTAGATCGAGAAGGATATTGACCGCGGCAGAAGCCCAGGCATCAGCGTTAAGGTTGATGCATTTGCCATGATGCTCGCCGTCCCAGTGTTCCCACGCAATGCGTATCGGAATGCATTGTAACGCGGTTGCTGTAACGAATGCGATGATGTACATGATGCAGATTACGATGGTAACGTGGATGACGCGTCGGAGTCCCTGGTGAGGGAAGATGCGAAGGTAGAAGAGCAAGACTGCTATCTTGGTCAATGCGATCGACGCAAGGTAGAGAAGCTCCGTGTAGTAGAAGATCTATTATCGAACTTTGGTCAGCGCAGGGATATCATGGGTTGCATAACCCATCACATACCTCGAGAATCTTGGTGATATTTTCGAAAGACACCATCCACATATCCGTGCCCAGCCCCAAAAGGTTCAGAAGGTACGCGCATATCGTGAGTGGGATGATGAGTATGATGGCCGCAGTCATAACCCAATCGTCAATGCCCCAGTTTCCGCCGAACCAGGGAAGGCGTGCGATTACGCGTAGAATGTAGGCTCCCAAGGATAGTACTCCAAAGACTATCGTAGTGACTGTTCCTTGTTCCGTCTTGTTCCGAATGGGCGCATCCATCAACTCGGTAAGAAACCTCTTCGCCGCTGCACAGGCTATTAGGAGAAAGTTCAACGAGCGAATATGAGAGAGGACCTACTCAGTGCTTCTTTAGGCTTACAGCTAGCCAAGACACATTTGCTCAAGTCATCGATAAGCTTCTCGTTGCCCTTGATGCAGTCGATATCAGTGAGCTGACATGTTGATGACGAGATTATTGTGAGGGTGCAATCTAACTTTATGACCGAAATCAGTATGGAGTCTCGTGTATCGACATGATTTACATACCGCGCATGGAGGCAGGTTCTTGACTGCAGACGCAAGCACATCATTTCCGCTCTGACTTTGCGCAAAAGACAAAGGCGCAAAGACAAGGCACAGTAGTGCGGAGAAGAACTTCATGTCGGAACCCGCATAGAACGAGGCTGTACCCCAGATTGTTTCCGACTGTACGTATTGAGACAACGCTTTACGAGATGCCCTGCGCGAGAAAACAAAAGAGGAAGGAGAATTATGTTAAGCGACGGATTGCGGATCAAACAGGGTAAAACAAAAAGCCATTTGAACCAGGATAAGAACAGGGGCTTATACACGGCACGTACAGGTTTCCCAGAGGCGGCAATGGACGTCAAAATCCTAGCCTCCCGAACATCAAAGCACCGTTAGTATGTTACAAGCACCACGTAGTGCAGCTGCCATCCTCGTCACGGAGTGTCTTCCACAAGGCGCGCCACACAAAACGTGCTCGGCCGCAATCGGCAGTCTATGAGCTAGACGGTGCCCTGACTTTAGTTCGTTGCTGTGCCGCTGCTACGGCGAATTCCACGTGGATCTTGAGCCCAACGAGCGACAAACCCTCCGATCTCTGGCCTTTACCTTTGCTGGCTTCACACGTTGAACGTGTCGAAAACTCACATACTTTGTCTATGAGGTATGACGTTTGTAAGTGAGGAAGATTGTGCCAAGAGATGTATGACGCGCTCAAGCGAGATTATCGGGGTCGGCAGCTGTATGAGCACCCATGTTCTCACAGTACTGAATGTCGGCCTGTTAGGCATCACGAGGAGGTGAGCATGATGCGAACCTGATCGGCGTTTGACGTGGCAATCATTCTGGCGTTCTGCCAATTGCCACAAGGCTTGCCTAGTGTATACCATTATAAGGCTTCGCTAGCGGAAAAGCCCTCGAGCAGTTCCAACACCAGCAGCGTCGATCATCGGAGGTACATGAACCCGGTGAAGAACGGTATTCCACTGCTCCCAAGTAATGGCAATCGTCTTTGCGAAAACGTGGTTCGGCCCTGCATGTGAGCTTTAGAGTTTAGCTCGGCATGTAGATCTAGTCTAGCACAGTCTTTAATAAAGCTCGGAAACACTAGGCTAGTCAGTCACCCATGGTCGCTGTGATAAAACTGAATGTTCTTTGGACACGGCAGATGCAAGCGCCGTGAACAGAAAGATTGGCGAGTTTTGGCGAATCCTTCGTTCTGCAGCGATTCTAGGGGAATGTGGCATATGCTCAAGTGATCTGTACTAGCTGCAGCGACTTACAGATTCGTCGTTCGGCCATGATTCACGTGGTGGAGAGGATGACCGCAAGCCGCCCTGCCGGTCTGCAATGTGGGGCCTTAGAGCTCCATCGTTTCTTGTTGACCATACTTCCCATTCGACCCCCTCTTATGATCCACTCTTGTGAGATTCACGCGGAAAGCCGGTAGCTCTAGTGTTTCGAAATGACCGTCTTTTTGCTCGTCCCAGAACACCGCTGTATTCAAAGGTATGCCGGCGTAACTGGACATTTCCCAGTCCTCCACGCAGAAGTCGTCCCAAATAGAGCCCAGTCCTTCTGCGCGCTCCTCGAAGATCAATGCACGCCACTCCTCCCCCTGCTGTTCTCCCTCGTTGCGATAGAGGAGCGTTGGGCTAAGCTGCGCATAACGGGGCGGGGTCGTCACGTCTTTCGTGATCGGTGCTTCGAAGACAACCGTCCCGTTGGAAACAAAGGTTGTAACAACAAGACCGCGGTAATCAGCTTTCAGTGTGGCTGTAGAGTTCATTTCTGGATCAGAAGCGCTGTAGGTGCCCGCATAGCGGTCACGCATTTGCTGTATGGCAAGCTTTTCGGCTGTTTGCACTATCTTTACTGTAACGATGTCCATGATCTTGGACAAGATTGCGCTGGGGCCTGCGACTAGAATAGTGATACCCAAGTCGTACTCCGGCACTGTTATGATGATAGAGGTATAGCCCGGCAACCCTCCACTCTTAGTGACAAAGCGTACAGTACGTTTCGACTGCTCAAGTATGCGGTCTGTTTGATAGATCTCCCACGGCATGCCATAGAAGGAGTTCAATCCGCGAGACGGAGAGACTGGATGTAGCCAATTTATCGCGTGGGTGATGGCGTTGTAGTGGGTTAGGACGTAGCGGAGGTATTTCGACAGGTCCCTCGTCGAGCTGTAGATGCCGCCGGTAGGATTTTGGATGCCTTCGTCCACACCCCAGAATTGTGGACCAGCCGGAATGACGCCAGCAGAATCGGCAGGCTTGGAGAGAGTGCTGGTAGACATGTTCAAAGGCTTGAAGATGGCTTCATCAATGTAGGTCTCGTAGGTCTGGTTCGTCACCCGCGATAGGACGAGCCCAAGCAGTTCGAACGCGACATTGGAATAAGACGATTCTTGGTTTGGCGCGAATAACGGTGCGAACTTCTTGAGCTGTCGAAACATATCTAAGCACAATCAGGTTAGCACCCTTCTCTCACGCTCAATTAGTGAGATGTGAACCTTTCGCTGTGCAGGGTGTCTCATAATTTGGTGAGTACTCGTCACAGTTTGGCAACCCTTCCCGTGACACATCAGGAGGCAGACCCAGGGAGCTTGGATCCAACTCAGGGTAATTGTTATTGATAAGATCACCTTGAGCCCCTGTTAAAGAAATTAGCACGCGTACCTTCTTCTGTGTGGCACACATGAAACAGATTCTGCTTCTTTCCAGAAGA